ATCTTCAACCAACTGATCAGTTTCCTGAAAAGTGATACCCTATTCTAGACCCAAATGCCCTGATTTATATACCCTATTCTAGAGTAAACTGCTTAAAAACCATCCCCTTCACAGCGGCAAATACCCCATATAGCCCATATATGGCAGTATCCCCCTCCGCCCCGCACCCCCTTTGGGCTTTTACCTCGTGCCAAAATCTCGGCTGCTTGTTCGAATGAATGTTTTCTCTGGCCGAGAGATTATGCTCTTGAGGAAAAAGGTTTTGACTTAGCAAATGTGATTTTTGCCCTTGTTTTTACACTGAGAGGTGGTTAAAAGCATATTGATTTTCTGCGGTTTCTTATTGTTTCTAGTCGTCATGATCTCGGATGCAGGAGCGCTCTCTTTTGACCTCTTTTGAAATGTAAAGCTCTTAATTGCAGCTAAATAAGGGTTTTAGGTTGTTAAATTTTCTCCAATTAGTGCCTCCTGTATCTGAATTATTATAAGCGATTTTATTTTTGTCCGTAAAAAGTTCGCTCCGCCCGCTAAGAAACTCGTGAGGTCGACATGTAGCAAGTCTATCATGGAATTTGAAGGCCTGAAAAGAGTACGAACCCTGAACACAGGAATTACACAGTCATTAATTTTATTGACTGATATTTTCGCACTTATGAAAATCTATTTCTTGTTTTTTCTCGAAACCAGTCACTAACAAGTAAATTTGTTGCTAGCAAAGTAGCAACAAATGGGAATGCCGGAGGTGACAAGTTCATTCGCATCCGATTGCTCCCAGCTATTCTTTTGCCTGGGAACTCAAACGCCCGGGGGGGGGGACTCCGCATATGAAAGGGGTGGGGATGCTCATCGGAATTTTTGAATTAAACCCCTAAAGGAGACCGATCTGGGTGTGGCCCAAGCTTTTTTTGACCCCTAAAAGAGACCATGTTAAAACACAGACAAATGAGAAAATTTGGAATAAATAATACGAATTAAAAATATACATATCAAATATATATTTTTAGATTTTTTCGCGTGCGACCGTAAACGAGACCTTCACGGCTAAATATGATGGCGTTTTGCCCAGAACACCTTAAGTGAGACCAAAATCCGAAATTTACACCCCTAAGCGAGACGACGAGCATCCCCACCCCTTTCATATGCGGAGTCTCCCCCCTCCCGGCTCAAACGTTAATATTTTCTGTTGGAACTGAAGTCTAGCGGGTGATCTCTTAAAACCTCCTCAACAGTCTGGGCTGCATTGAGTCATATCAAATCAAGTAGGTTTGCGTGTAGGTGTAAAGCGACCTTATGTTTAGTTAATAGGGAAAGAGGGAGACGTGTAAAAGAGAGTGAGAGACGGGCCAAGCATAACGCCTCGGAATCAAACAGAGTTACTGATAATGAAATGTATGAATTGACCACTTTCAGACGTAGGAACCTAAAACAACAGTCAGCTGCAACAGTTTTTCATTATCAGGAAGAGTTAACTTAAGTATGGTGTTGAAAATAACTTACATGTAGGATTGAACCACTAATTCTAATTTCCTTAATAACCGAGACAGACATCAAGCTTTTGAAATTAACGGGTAAAAAAAGATTACCTTCTTTTTACCCAACTGTCCGAAAGCAGCTCTTGAATTTTCCTCTGCTAAACGCCCTTAAAGAAGACTTTTTGAAACGGACTGTTATCCACATTGAGCTCTGTCATTTCAAGCAAGATTGCGAAGTTAGCGTGTAAATATTTAAACACTGATATGATTAACATCTCAGCACCGTTGGCCCTCCAACAAATTCAGTCTTCATTGTCATGGTGCTGGCAATAGGAGTCACATTCCAAATAATTGAAGCACTGTTAAAAGCGATTGATAGCATGAAAAAGAAAAAATGTATGATAATCGATCAAAAACAAATAACAGTAGCTGAAAATAAACTTCTCGTTCTAAAGAAATACGTACCTCGAAATAATTCACCTGACTTGCCAGTAGCCAGGAATATTATCAGTCAAATTTTAATAGTTCAACAGTATGAACAGGAGACGATTAGGCGTATTATTGTTATCCTAAAAAAACGAAAATCACATTTTAGTCATCAGACGTATTGAACAGCACAAAGACAACGACAGGAGCGGAAAAAAGTCGCCAAATCTTTATTCACCTGACCAAGTATATACATGAAGCTGAGGTCTGGACAAATTTTTGCAGCGTCATGGCAAAATCGGTAAACAGGCTTATTTAACTGGAAAAATCGGCCTCGCTGGTTTAGTCACGTAAACTTGTTTTTATGGTTTCCCTTATCTTTTTTTTAGTTTTATGGAAACTGGTTTCAGCAAATCTCAAGGGATTATAAAAGCTTTACCATCACTGGACAGCTCTTCTTTAAGCAAATTAATGCGCCAATTAATACACACGCGGCAACACCCTCCTGGAAATAAAGAGGGGATGCCCTTGGCATCCTCTAAAAAGCCTGGATTGCACTAACAGTTTTAAAAAAATTTGATAAAATATTGCTAAATTAAGTGTAATGCTATAACTCAATAAGAAATATTATTATTCATCTAAAATATTTCGCAGTTTCTGATTGGCTCCAATCCTCCGCCTAATTCTTCATAACCAACTGGCGCCAACCATATTTGAAAGATGCGAGCAATATACCATCGATTCGATGGTTTAAATTATGAATGATATTGTTATACCATCGATCCAAGTCGTTTCCAGGCGCAGCAGCCTGGCTGTTTATTCCTGAGTGAACTAATAAAGAAAATGGCGTTTATGGTTATCCGAAGGCGAAATAGCTGAATATTTAACCAGCAAGAATACGCAGAATATATAGCTCGATCAATTTTACCTACATTTTGAGGAGTATCTCCAAGGGAAAACGCCTGTTTATATCCTAAAATCTTGCTGAGAAATGGGCCAAAGTTTAGAAGAGAGTCTACGAGAAGGTTAAGCTGAATTTCATCCGATTGCTTTGAGTCTTTTTCCCCTCTCAGCAACGTCGTTACTGAGGGAGTAATAACAACTAGAAGTAATCGGATGAAATTCAGGATGCGAGAAGGTAAGCTTGTTGCAGTGCGACTACTGTAACCGGGGCCACCTAGACAAATTTGACCAATTGGATTACAGATTACAGAAAAATAACATTACATTCCTTGAAAATTGGTTGTGGGCCAATCAGCAGCTCGTAAGAGAACAATAAGTTACTCGAGGCACAAAATTAACAACACTTAATGAATGAAGCTGAGTATCTTATGAAGAATTATGGAGATCGAGGAGGGTGTTATCCGTCGAGGCCGTAGGCCGAGGCGGATAACACCCTCCGAGATCTCCATAATTCTTCATATGATACAAAAGCCGAATTCAATAATTGTTTTATTATTCATTCAAAATAATTCCTAGTTTAAAAACATAGCTAAAACATGCTTACCTCCATCGATGTTAAGTTCATCTTCGATAGTGCACGTTTAGGGTTGTTCAGCTCCGCAAATATTCTCCAAATAGCAGATGTCGCCCTTCGAGTTGTCTTCTTGCTGTTCTTGCCATGTTTTTAGCTATTATTTCGCCTAGTTCTTACTCTTGAAACGAGTGAAATGTCCGCCAGTTTTGTTTTCACAACCAAAACAACTCAACCTCGTCCCCAGGTCTTCTCGGTTAACGGTGCATTAACCTGCAAGAAGGCTGCACTTTTGACGTCATCGGTTCATTAAACGCAAAATTCTTCCAAATTTGGTCATCAGTAGCTGGTTATGGTGAATTATGCGTGTGCTTTTAGCCAATCAGAATCGGGAAAATATTTTGACTAAATAATAAAAGTTGATAACAAGCGTTTCCAACGAAGCAAACATTTTCATTAGACAATGTTTTTCTATCCGAAACTCTACATATAACTCCCAGGACACATATTTGTTTGACACAAGCTGTTATTTTGTTATATACCAAAAATTTCGTCGCTCACATTGCCGCGCCTTGCAATAACATGCGACCTCAAGTCAATAATACAAATACCGTTTACGTTTTTTACCACCGTCAATTACTCTAACGGACCTCGTAGGAAACAAAAGCTTTCCTCAGCGGGTTCAAAAGGTCACGTCTGTAGGTTATAATTGGTTGATCTCAATCCAATGTTGTTTATGTCATTTTGCGCTAATTATGACTGACAACCAACTTTCTCGGAATTTATTGTTATTTTCTTGTAATCCGATTGGACAACTTTGTCTAGGTGGCCCTGGTTACAGTAGTTGCGCTGTAAGAACTTAAAAACATTTTTGAATGCATGATAAAACAATTATTGAATTCGGCTTTCGTATGATGTGAACAATTATACAGATCACCCAGGATGTTATCCACCTCGGCCTTCAGCCTCGGTGGATAACACCCTCCTCGATCTGCATAAATTCTTCACGTCCTATTCCGCCTCTTTCAATATTTGCTTAATAGACATAAATCCTTTTTTATTGGAAAAAGGCAAATTTTGAAAAACATGGCTGACAAAACTCGGTTGCCATGGTGGCGTCAATGTTGATGTATACGTCACGATGTCTTTAAAATGTTCCCAGATAATTTTTACGAAAGGTCGCTAAGTTTGGCGGTCATAGCTAACATGGTTTTGAAGTTATTCAACATTTTAGCTCAGGGGCCCTCAAACGCCCTCCTGTCTGAATAGGGTTATTATTATAAAGAAAGAATATCTTGACCGACAACAGAGTAAAGTGTCACCATACTGGTATTCAGTTCAATTTTTTTTTTATTTCCAGTGTCTGGTATTGAGTGTCCAATGTGTACCAATGTCCCCGGATTAGGAGCAGGCAAATGCAACGGTGGCAAAGTTCCCAAAGTTACCTGCACCGATGGATTGAATCGGTGTATGAGCTTGAAAGGGAAAATAACGTTTCGTGACTTTACTCAGAAAATCGAACTAAAGAACTGTTCCAACAACGTTTTGTGTGACTCAGCCAGCGACTTCAACGGTAAGAACAGCAAAGAATTCCCCCCTCCTCCCCACTCTCCGGAGGAAACTCGAATATGATCACAAAAGAATGCTGGGAATATCTTTATGGCGTATAAATTCAGATTTTCGTCTTGGTTATACTTTTGAGGACGTAAAAGCTATTTTTTGCCCATACAGAGCTAGTGTGGGGTACTTTATAAAATAAATACACACAAAAAAAATCAAAATGCCATTATGTTGTGCCGAAGACACAAGTATCAATTTCAACATCTTTTTTACAATTAATTAAATGTACTGCTGCTGTTAACGGGTTCCGGAATTTCGTTTCCTGCACTGGTACAGTCTCTTTAGGAAACATGCCCAGATTAGTCTCTGTTGGAGGTTACAGTAATTAAAGCAAGGTCAAGCGTATCCCCATAGATTGCATTAATGAATCGATTTTTGGTCATTTTTTTCTGTTTTTGGTCAGATTGTATATCTTTGTATCGATAAAATTGCTTCAAAGACGTTTACAACAATTTCAAGGAAACTGAGCTGGTAGAAACTTCATAACTACCTTACGTGTAAATTTCTGCTCATTACGCGTGCAGGAATGCAGAGATGAATCTGAAATCCACAACTACTAACGGATTCAACTTTCAAACAATAAAGGAAGTAATGGACTCTTGGGTGGGTAGGCTTGGTCTGGCCTGACAATAAATTCTAATTTTCCGAAGACGATCCCCATACTTCTCATATGAGGGAGCCACCTCCTTTATTTCAGCAGAATAACTCTTCTCCTTTTTTTTCAGCGTGTAAGCTCCTGAACCGGACGGGCTATCTTACTTCATGTTCGCTTAATTGTACCACACCGGACACCAGTAGAGTGCAAGGACTGGGTAACTCAAAGTTGTTTTTTTCTTTTTTAATGCTAGTTTGAAAGTCGAGGCCAAAATTTTTTGCACTCGTGTTATTGAGTTTGAAATATTTGTGAACAAAACGTAATATTTCCGTTATTGAAGTCTTAAAAGTTCTCTCTTTAACCTTTAAAAACGAATGTCCTAACTAGACAGTGAACATTGGTGTCTTAAAAGGAGCCTTAGTGTATGCGCTACCACTTTCGCAGAAAAACTGACAAGCAACACAGCGCGCAGACTCATACGCCTGATAATGCACCTAGAGCAAGTATGCAGTGCGTGAACAGGCTCGAAGTGGGAGATAAAAAGAAAAAAAAGGAAAGAAAAGAAATGAAAGAAACGTCCATTTACTCCTTTCCCCACCTCCACCCTCTCACGCTTTTGTTCAATAAATCCACCATGATTTTTATTTTCATACGCGCTTAACGATCTCTATAAGGATATAATAGAATGTTTATGAACAGGCAAAAATACACTGTGTACTAGTCTTGACGTCTTCTCATCTTTGGACCATTCGTTTTTGATATTATTTTGCAAAACTTCATTTTGAGACTTACGTTTTTTACCCTTGAATTTCACCACTGGATTTCTCTGCTCGCTTGGATCAAGTAGCCAACAAAATACTCCACTTACTTGCTGCAAGAACTAATAACAATTCAACAAAGATTTTTTTGCGCGTTAATTTCCAAGACGATTAAATAGTGTATAGTGAATTAAAAGAGCTACGGTAGCTTTAAATTTAGGGGCTGCCCAACAACTTAGCAAAGCCGATGTGGTGGGGGCTCGGTGATGTAGTTTGAGGATGCGCATTCTTTTCTTTATCGATAAGAGCCGAGTGTTATTTCATTTTGGTTGCGTTTGCCGAATATATTTTTTTCTAAACCACCCAACCCCGCTGAAGGTCATACCGGTGTAAAAAAGGAAGATGAGACAGATGCAAATAAGAAAAGACCAATTTCTCCCTTATCTATATTTGACAGAATTTTGAAAAAGTAATGTTTAAGAGTGGCGCATTTTATCAATGATAAGAATATCTTGTTATCATCTCAGTATGGTTTTAAATCAAAAATATAAAAAATAAATTAATTATAAAATAAGTAAATAAATAATAACGTGGGCTAAACGAGATGTCGGCCTAGAATGCTTTCCCTCGGGATAAGCCAACCTCGTCCCAAGGGCGCAAGCACGGGAAAAGCGCCCTGGATACGAGGTTGGTGATTAGCATCCTTTGACAGTACTCCTTTCTACCCATACTGCACTTCAACTGAAACCGCCCCAGTCCCCACTGCTCCCTTACCGCAGAAATATCTCATTTCAAGCTAATTCGTATCCATCCACTCAGACTATTTTAGTGCATCTTACATAAAAATTTTATTGACTGACGAGGCTCGAAGAGCGAAATATATTTCAAGGGTTTAAACTTCTAGAACATTTTTATTTTTACATTTTACATTTCTTATACGCGCGTCGAGTGTGGTAAAGACATGATCTCGTATCTATCCAAACACCATTCCATTTGTTTAAAAGAACATTTACTTGACTTGATAATGACCAGTTATATGATATTTATTGTTTATAGTTACATTTTGTTTATTTTAGCAGTACAACTCCTTTTGAATTTGAAGTCAATAATTACCTGAAGACATCAAAACGTCAGTACAAATCGAAATCACTGATTTAATCTCAATTGTTTTCCTAAAATTTCCGTTATGAATATTTAATAACCAAATTTGCTTTAAGAAATTGGTACTTATCCGTATAATTATCATAATCTAATGACGACATGATGCAGACCTAGAAAACTTACAACCCTCTCCTATAGGACGTCATTTATACAGCTCGCTCTCTCTACTCCAGTCTAACTTGGGTACGGAAAAAAAATGTTTCAATTAAAATTGAAATAAAAAGAGCGACGTCTAAGCGAGACCTGATGTCTAGATTGCAAATATAACTGTTAAGAAACAATTTCCAAGGGGGACAATCGAATTGAATTGCAGACTTAATGTCTTGTTTCTGTTTAATCAACTTTCAGTTGGCTGGCGCAAAGTAAACAAGTGGCCAGTATGTTTTGAAGCCAAAGGCAGCCGGTTCGGAAGATTTTACGTCCCACGGGGGAGATTAGCTGCCATAAAGCTGGTTCATCTGTACGGATACGTGTCCTGTCACGTTCACGGCCCATCTTTCTGGTCCTACTGGGGCTGTGGCGACAATCCGTCGATGGGGTTAAACACTCTAGTCAACGCTGTCATCACAGACTCAGACAACCACATTCTACTCCCGCCAATTCAGTTCCAGAAGATCAGCAACTTAAAGTGGTACAGGGTTCCCGGATATAATTCCCTCTCACCTGAGCTTGTTCTGCCATTCTTTACGTCTCCCAGACGGGTCCATCGGAAACAAGAATTACGCGTGTGGTACGGTGAAAACTTGGTGAATTTAAGCGAAGGAGACAACGGAGGAAAAGTGTGCGCTGATGTCTATGCTCTCTGTGTGACTGAAGAGATGCAATCGCTGCTTTCTCTACGGGTTTTAAAAAATGTAAAGGATAAAAGGGAATTTTGCTATAGCATATTTCTCACTTGACTTAAGTTTGACTTGAACTGTGCAGGTTTCGTCTATCAATTCTCTGTTTTCACTGTCACGCCATGAAAAATCAAAATCAAAATCATTCAATACAGAAAACCCAGAATCTAGGAAATGGAAGAAAATCAATATACAAAACACCTCGCTAGAAATCAGGACCGTGCGATATTTCATGTGCGAGATACTAGGAAAAATGTTTTATCCAAATTAACAAAGCTTTGTATGGAGACGCCATGTTGGTTCCCCTTTGAGGGGCACAAATATGGCCGCCGTAAACAAAAAGACTCATCTGTCTTTGAGTTTTTTTTTATAAAAGCGTTAATTCATCGCTTGAGGAACTCATAAAGATTAAAGTAATATTTATCCTGAAACAAGAAATGTCAAGACAGCAAAATCTCAAAAAAAAAATCGGTAACATTTTCAGCCTACATGAGAGCTGTCCAGGCCGCCATCTACACGCCGCGTCAAGCAAAAGTTTTGGAAATTCAAGCGTCCCTATATCGCAAAACGAAGAGCCCTTTCGAGCCGAATATTTGTATACAGCTATTTTAAGAAATTTTGTCGGAAAAAGTGCACGCGACAATCCCGAAAGGTATTGTGGGTGGTTTTGAGTTCAATGTTCTTCAAAGAAATTTGAAAGAATGGCACAAGAGGCCATGGACGTGTTTGCGAAGGACGCAACAAAAATAGGTTCGACGACCTACACTGCCAAGAACAGGGTGTTCATCATATCCTATATTACCTTTCAGGATTCTCGCGTGCAAATTTATTCCGACATGCTTTCAATAGCTGTAAACAAAGGTGTTTAGCTGCTGTAATGCCTCATAAAAGTAACACTCGGAATAATCGATAATGCCTTAGTTTGAATTTTGGTGACGTCATGTGAAAACCGAGAATTGCATTATTCCCGTAGGTTTTTCTTTTTTAATAAGAAAGCAAAAGTTAAGATTAAATGATTTTTATACATTGTAAAAGTGCAGCAATAAAACTGATCGTTAACCGTATATCCCGAGTTTTCTGATTTTGCTGCGGGGGCAAACTTCAAAAATATCAGGCGCCTGTTGCAATAAAAACCCAATGTCAGACGAAACTGCTTACGTTTAGGCTAGAGTTAAAATGAAGAGTTTGAGCTGAACGTCAGAGTCTGGCGTTAAATTATGAGTTTGAATGAAATGAACGTCAGACGCAACTGCTATTTAAGTCTAGTGTTTTAAAAAATAAAGGGTTTGACTGGGGCATGTGCAAAGAGGGGAGGGGTAGGCGAAGAAAAATGCGAAACCACGGACCGAGGTTATTTCGAAACACGAATTGCGACTGAGTACGAATCTGCATCCAAAACAAGAAAGAGGATCCGAAGTTGAGTGACCATATCCCATAGTCCCTTCATTATCAGATCGTCACAGGCATGATGACCTGTAATTCGTCATTATTATCATCGATGGCGTCGATACTGCTTCGACTTCAAAGATGTATTCAAAGGGATACTTTGGGGGGAGGGGAGTGGAGGTGATGCGAATGAGCGCCAGGGATTGGAGCAAAAGTGGCGTCTAAGCACACTTTACACTAAAAGCTCAAGACGACCAAAACAAGTAGAAATTTAACAGAACAAAAATCATAAGTAATCACTGAAATTTCATCAAATTTTGTTCTAATATATAGTTTATTTTAACACATTCGCTCCTGAGCCGCCAGTAACCACCCGTGCGGATCCGGGTCCTTTCTACCACTTGTGACGTCATCAGTTTTAATATTCAAGGATAACTTTGTCCCCTAACTTGTGCAGAAGGAAAAGATCTTTCGGACCATACCAGAATGAACACAATTCAGTCAAGGACACCGGAGAAAAAGGCAAAAAACCATGTAACATTCCCCCGAAAATTTCCATGAAAATCTTGTTCCACTACCCACCTACCTTTCCTTTCATTAAATCCTAAGATCCTGAAGGTTTTCCCCAAAACGTTTCCCACCAAAATGAAGCCCACTAAATGCCCAGTAAGAGGGGGGAAAAAGAGGTAAGAAAAGCGAAAAAAGAGGGGAGGAGAGAAAGCGAAAAGTAAAAGTCAAGTCCTAGTTCGATATCCTTCAATGACAGCGCAATCGTAAGAAATTTCTATCCTAAGAAATTTCACTCTTCTAATATTTTCAAAGATTTGCCGCCAGCTTGAAGAGAATTTGCATTTGATCACCTTTGATTATAGAACCGCGCTCGAAATATCAATTATCAATATTGTCAATATCATGAAGTATGAAGAACTCGTACCCAGTTGTTTTCGGTTGTTTCACCATGAAGTCATCAAACTCTAAAATAAAAACAGTGAGGCCTACTGAGTTTTTCCCTACCAGGTTGAAGGTGACCGAGAAATAAATCTCTGTATAAGTTTCCAGCCCCATTTTGAAAACACAGTGTTTTGAATTTCCGCATATCAAGCAGTAAAACTGACTAAATTAACCGTAAGTTAACTGATTCATTCCCCTTTGATAATCACCGCGGATAAAAATTATACATTTGTTGGAGGTTGCAGTATTCCGCTTTGTTCCTGAAAAAAAAAATAGAAGTTAAAAGAAAATCGTCATTTTGTAAATGTTTCTTAACCGTTCAATCCTGGACATGACTGCCGCTCCTTGTCTTTCCGTTCTCTAACTACCAAGAACGTTATCTCAATAAGATTCAATACAGTATTTGCCGAAACTTATTCCTTCATTATAAGCTTAATAAGGAAAAATAGTTTGATATCGGTTGCTTTGGTTCGAGATATCAGATTTGAAACCAGTATCCAATGCTGACGCGTGTACATTTCTTCGTTCAAGACAATTTGATCTTAGTCCTAAAAAACTACATCAACGACCCTTCTCTTCGTCAAACATGAGTCACCTGAGAATGATCCGGATTTCGTTTCATCATCATCATCATCGGTCGGCTGCAGAGAAGGCGACTACGAGCTTCCTCCAGCCACAACGATCCCGTGCCAATTCAGACAGCTTGCCCGGCTTGATCAGCTTGATCAGGCACGCGCAATTGCAATCCAACCTGCCATTCTATACCATACAAGGAATGCTATACAAGTACTGGTGGAGGGGACGTTGGAGGGGATAAATGAAGCTAAATGTACACAACTTCTACTATATAGATGTTGTATTCATCGAGAAAATGTAACTGAAAGAAACAGTATTTCAAGCTGAGGAAACTGATCCATGTCTTATTAACCACGTGTCGTTTGTGGAGCGACGGTCAGGAAAAATCGACCAAAATCTTAATTTCGTGGCAAGAGTTGAAAAAATGAATTCCTTTCATTTTTTTGTTTGTGGAAAGCTTTTAGGTAGATAAGAAACCTAATGTAGATTGTTTCCTCCAAAAGCCTTTCATTTGTAAGAAAAACTAGAAGATCGGTTTTCGATGTCGGAGTGTCAGACTGCCCTAATTTTTACCCTGAAATTCGCTAACATCAACTTTCCTCGCGTTCGCAAACGAAGCCGTATGGAGAAATTTGGACACCTTCACGAACAGAAAAATTCTTTTTCTTCCACTAGAACATACTTTCAGGGCAATAGCGAAGCTCGTCGTACTGAAATAATTCAAAAATGAGGGATAGGTTTTCAAGATAACAAAAACGTAAGTTCGTTACTCATCACCGATGGCAATATTTAACATGTGGTATAACTCCAAATTCTCTTCATGCTATTTAAATCACACATTTAGACAATCATTAAAAACATACCTGGGAATTGGCTTGGGTTATTGAAGGAAATCTCTGTAAGACACCATCGAAGTTCAGGAATTTTCATAGTAGGCCGAAGGTAATTGTGTAAACACTTCCAATTTCGAAATGCACAAAAGTAGAAACTGGCCTAATGGCTCGTTTTTCGTAGTTCTTGTAGGTTTCCCCATTGTAAAGTTGCTTATTTCAATCAAAGAGTGGAGTAAAAGGGTGAAACTGGGTCAATTTTAGCTATTTTGAAACACTGAACTCTACCAGCCGGCGACTCCGCGTGACAATCTCTTCCGTGACAGCACCTGTCATAACGTACGTTTGAAGAGACGGTGCCGTCAAAATGACAGTCACGGAATCACGGTAGTAACGCAACGCAATTCTTCAAAGAGTAACCTTTTCGGTGCCGACAGTATTTTGAAGAAGAAAAATATCAAACGCGCTAGTAATCTGGTACTTGCTTTTTATCGAAAAATAAGTACTTTAACAATGGTAATTCGCTAAGGATGACGGAACAGGAAGATATTTCTTCTTGTTACTTTACGATCGAGGAAACTTGGAGTCGTTAAGTAAGTTGTTTTGGTCACGCTTCACTATATTTGCCCGACTTCGATGCTTTCGTTTGGAGGCTGCTATTAGGAACCCAAGCCAATTCTCAGGTATGTTTTAGGTGAATGTCTAAATGTGTGAATAAACGAGGACTGGGGAAATTTGGAGCTATACCACATGAAGAATAATGTCGCAGAAAACAACTACTAAATTAACGTTTTTGTCACCGTAAAAACCTGTTCTTCGTTTTTGAATTATGTCAGATCAACGAGTCTCGATATTGCTTTGAAAGAACCTTCTATTGAAAGAAGAAGAGTTGTTCTATTGATGAAAGTGTCCAAATTTCTCCTTGCGCCTTTATTAGCGAAGGCTAGGAGAGTTGATGTTAGCAAATTTCGGGTTGAAAATACGGCCATTTTGAGACTCCGACCACGAAAACTGATATTTTAACTTTTCTCGAAAATAAAAGGCTTTTTGCGAGAACAACTCACGTCAGATAACTTATCTACCTAAAAGTTATGTATGGACAGAAAAATGAAAGAAATCGATTTTTCAACACTTGCCACTCGATGGTCGATATTTGCTGACCGTCGCTCTTGATTTCTGCTTTGCGCAACACATCTCTACCAGTCAAAAGCAAAGCATCGAAGTTTT